GACTGTGGCGCTGGGCAAACTGCGGCCGCAGTTCCTCCAAGTTTGCCCGAGCCTGAGCGCGGGGAAGGCGCCCCGCTGGGCGCCCGGTCCTCGCCCGCGGCCGTCCCCCCACCACCCCCTCCGTCCCGGCTCCCCGGCAGGGGCCGGCGCCCGCAGCCCAGGGGGCGCGAGAGCCGAGGGAGGAAGGGCGGCCGGCGAGAGGGCGCTCCCGCGTGTGCACACAATGAGGCAGCCGCACGCACACCTTCCCCGCGGGAGCAGCCGCCGCCGGCCCGGAGGCGCGGCGGCCGGGGGAGCCCCGACTCAAAGTGAACGCCTCCGAGTCAGCAACAGGGGGAAGGAGGAGGTGCCCGGCGGGCCGGGGCCGGGGGCTGCCGGCGGGCCGGGCCGCGCTCCCGCGCTTACCTGCGATCTCCTGGTAGGGAATGTCCGCCAGGCTGAATCCCTTGGCACCGTACGCCTGGCGGACCTCGCCGCAGCTCCGAGCCTTCACCTCCGCCCCGGCCGGGAGAGACAGCAGCAGCCCGGAGAGGGGGAGAATCACAGCCCCGATCCAAGAAGGCATGGTGCAGCATGCAAATCCAGCGAGCCAAGCCCCGGGCCCGTGCGCTCTTCACCTGGCCCCTCCAGCCGAAAGCCCGCCAGAGCCTGCGGCGCGCTCCTCGCCGCTGCCCAGCGTCACCCCCTTCCGCCAGCCGAGGGGACGAGCAGCGCAGCCCTCTGGACTGCGCTCAGCAAACTTTTATAAGCCAGATGGAGGATGGCAAGCCAACCAGGGCTGGCTGGGGAAGCGGCCGCCCTGCGCCTCTCTAGCCCCCCAGATTCGAAAGCGGTGCTGCAGAAAAGGAGAGAGGAGGCTAAGAAATGTTTTTAAAAAACACCATGGGGGTGCAGCGCTGCGATCCGAGTTCCGAGCCGCAGAATCCTAGAGCGCGGCGAGCCGGGCAGCCCGCGGGAGGGTGCAGAGGAGGTGGCGACGCGCGCCGGCTCTCCCCGGAGGGAGAGGGACAGGCTGGCGCGCGGGTGTGTGCGCGCGTGTGTGTCGGGGTGGCGCGGGCTTCTTGGGGATGTGTGTGCGTGGAGGTATGTGTTGGGGATAGACGAGATCCAGGGGAAACCTCAGCTTCACACAGGCTGAGGGAGCCCGTGAGAGTCCTTCTGAAATAGGAAGAGTGAAATCCTGGAGACAGACACTGGAGGCTGGAGGGAAGGAGAAAGGAGGGGAAAGAGAGAAACGTGCTACTCTTCGCACAGCCGAAATTGTGAGGCAGAGTCGAAGGCAAAACCTGGACTGGATCTCTTTCTACTTGGTGAATGGGTTGGGGGGGGTGGAGAAAACGTTCTTACATTGTATTCCTTTCTCACACTCCATTCTCATCCGAAGTGCTACCTTTGACGGCACAAGTAAACAATCTAGAAAGACTGTATTTGACGTTATTAAGTTTTGTTTTTAAACTATATTTTTGTGGATGTAAAAGCCTCATGCCAATTGTTGTTAGAGATATGAGCAACAATTTATGACCTACTGAACACAAAGCCACAGTGGATAAAAAAAAAAAAAAAAAAAAAACCCTGAATAGCAGCGCACAATCACCATACTGATTGTTTAATTTCTGTGTAGCTTTGTCTGTATTTCAAAAAAAAAAAAAAAACAGATACTTTATGCACACATTGGAGACTAGTGGGAAATTTTTTTTTTCAGTTTTAATTTTGAATTCAAAAATGCCCTTTCCCTTACTTAAAATATTATATAAACTTGGATCAGACATCTTTATGCTTAAAAGTAGCATAGAACAGGAAAGGAAAAATAACATGGAAGCAATGGGGCAATAAGGGCAGTTGTCAGTAGGGATGCATAAAGAAAGGCATTGGAAAGGGAGGTGATATTCTCCCTTCTTCCCACATACTATCACATATTAGATTTAACATTTTCTTTCATGATAAGGGGATTCTCAAGTGTGGAATCCATTTACTTCTTCCTGTCTGACACTCAAGTTTTGTAAAAGAGGGTAAAGTGAAAATCCAAGGTCATTCATTTGTTCATTTCCATGAACTTTCTTGTGTTAATGAACACACTGAACTCTGTTAGGCAAAAGCATCTGTTGAAACCCAAGGTTCCCACTCTCTAGTACTTTATTAAGAGACTAAGTTCAAGAGCTTCACCAAAAAAAAATTCTTGCGTGTTCATATGTATGTTAGGTCTGCATGTTATTTCTACATAACTATCAGCTAATGTTCACTTTGACAGTACTCACCTGAAAAGCAATACGTGATTTTTTTTTCTGATGATGGATGTTAATATCCAGAATAATTCAAGAAATGCAAGTCATTCTATTTGTTATCATCTTCATCAGAACACATTAAAATCTTCCTCTAATTTCTCCACCTATTATCTACCATAGAGTCTCAGATTTAGAGTCCCACTGAATTGAAGCTATAGAAGTGCCTTTTTTTAAATGTTAAATGTTTAAATATTTACAGTCACATTTTCTTCTTCACAGTTTCATAGCTAAACATTTATTTTAGAAAACATCGATCACTGCGCTCGCTGGTGGCACAGTGAGTTAGGACACAACACTGCAAGCTAGCCACAGCTGCTTCAGTTAGAGTTGGATCTGGGGCCCCAGAGGTGATCCACAGGGCGGGGCAGACCTCTCCTGACTTGCCCACTGCTCCCCACAGCAGTGTACTTGGTCAGTCTGTTCTGCTCCCCACTCTGTCTCTGGTGAAGCTTCTCACGGCCCCTGCATCTCTGGCCTGTACCCCAGATCTGTATACATACATAAATAAATCTTTGAAAAACAAGAAAACATCAGCCACATCACCCACTGTTCCTCATAATTTTATCCCACTTTTTGCCTTCCTGTTATTGTGCTGTCAAGACTCAAATCATTAAATTTATTTTTTCTCTCAAAGTCTGACATCAAGGTTAGAACAAACTGTACTCTAGTGCCTTTGTGAACAAAGGATGAGTTTGGTAGGATTTGGATTTGCTGTACCCACATCTATGATATTAGCCATGACCTCCCTCAAACTTCTGAAACTGTCCTAGTCAAGTGACAGATACAACACACGGCAGAGGAAGGGGGTAAATATAAGCAAAATGCATCCTGTCATCTCACACTGGACTTATTGTCACTTACCCAGGCCCTACTCATATATAGCAGATAATGCAATAAAGAGGACAATCGAGGTAGAGGAACAATGGGTAAAAACTTAGTGTGTGCAATTTAAGTCCTTTGAAAATCATTAAGTATTTAATAAGCATTCAGCACAACTATACAGCACTCGAGGTTAATGTACACAGCTCCTACATTTATCAAATGACCCTAGGATTTGTGGTGAGGCTAGCAGACAGAAGGAATTATGACTTAATCAAGTATAAATCGATTTGTTTAATCCCATTGAGTGGGGGAAACAATTTAGGGTAGGTTTGTGACTCAAGTCACAACAAAGAATTAAGTAACTGGCTTTATAGGTGCTTTCTGCTCCTATTTGGTCCTTGGATGGATAATAGAGAATTGTCAGAAGTGGTGGAAGAGACAAAGCCAAGCATTCCTCTCAGGGTAACTGCCTGAGCTGAGCTGAGGTAGCGTAGTAAGCACTGAAGTCCAAGCAAGTTCACAGAAGATCTGACTAGAAAATTGACTTCATATTAAGCAGTTGGCCTTTGGTTTCCTTAGAAAGAGAGGGTAGCTGACAGTCTTGAACTTGAGTCTCTTGTGCATGTCAGGGGAAAAGGTTGAAATGTTGAAGATAACACAGCAGAACAAGCAAGCATATGGAAGTAAAAGAAAGTAAGAGAAACACAATGGCAAAGGTATCAAATGACTGGAGGCAAAATAGGGTGGGAAATGGAAAGAAGCTACAGATGTACATTTTGTAGAACAAATTACCATGATTTGGTTCCTAGTTCAATACGCCAACTGTATCGCCTTATTTTTAAAATATGAATCTCAACTCAAGGTAAGACTCTTACTGATGTAATACTTTCACATCCCAACTGCTCTTCCTAACAACCTCTTCTGAATGTAAGATGAGTAGAAGCTCAGAGACTAAGTTAGAAACAATATCTTACTATTGAGGAGCAGCCAGTTGAAGGCAAGCAAGAGCCCCTCTAAGTGGCTCATCCCAGGGCCACGGGTCCCCTGTGCTACCCAGTCTTGTGTTTGAGGGTCTCAGGGGGTGTACAAGCCAGTGATGGCAATCTTTTGCCTTTTCGATTCAATAGTGCAGAAGTGAGCTTGGAACCATTTCTGAGAGATGAGATGTAAAGAGGGGTTTTTTTTTGTTTGTTTTGTTTTTTCCTGCTTAAAGGTGAGACCTATAGGAACTGAAAGGTGACTTTTTGCCTCAGGCTCCTGACTTCTTAAAGCTAGTGGCCATCTTGTGAGGAGGTAAGACACTGTAAACAGAAGAATGGAAAGAACCTAAATTTTAGGGGGGGGTGTCATTGAATTAATTATTTGTCTACTGGTTTTAGGGGTACAATATCATTAACTGGTTTCAGGAGTACAATCTCATTAATCAACATCTATATATATAACTTATAGAACCGAGATTCTTGAGTCACCAAGCCAGACTTGGGAATGCCAGCTTCAGGATTTCTGATTATAAAAGCCATAAATATAATTTTAGCTTATGTTATTGTCAGTTATTCTTTTTATAAATGAAGGTAGTATAAATGGGTATGTGAAATCATTTTGACTAGTGAAGGCAAAAAACAAGGATTTGTTGCAAATATATAAAAAAGAAACAAAAATGATATAACATCATGGAATCCACACTAGAAGAGCTTCACTCACAAAGCTAATCATAGCAGATGTCCAGAACAAGAAAGAGAAAATGATACATGGATGATGAGATAGAGGCTTATTAAAAACTTCAGTAGAAACATTGAATAAAGTAATGGTATAGAAGCCAGACCATATGGAATTGTAAGTGAAGTGGGTGGAGAGAATTTGGAAAAGGTAGGCATAGCTGATTACATTGTGGTAACTATAGAAAAAGGGCCAGTGGGCCAGGGATGCTTTCCTGCAGAAGATTCTGGGACTTCAGAGAAGACTGAGTAGATAGATATAAAAAGAGATTGAAGGTCAATGGGATCGAATTTAATAGGCTGATTTTTTATATATCTCTTTCTTAGCTGCATTTTTGAAGTATTCTATATGGTGAGTTCTTTTTTAGAATTAGGGAAAAATTATTATTGTCCAGCTATTCCAATACATGGATGAGAAACTAGATGAATTTTACTTGTTTTTTTTTTTCCTCTTAGTGTTCGATCAATATGGAACCAATACATTGGAATGAAATCATAAGAAAACAAGAGAATGGACTTCAGCTGTCTCACATCTCAGCTTGGCATAAATCAAAATCATTTAGTTAACATGCCTCTTGAAAATCAGGTTCTGGAGTGAAAAAGTGTTCAAAAAATTAACAACTGTAGCTCTGCCAGGTGCCTGGACAAGGGGAAAGTCGCCAAGTTTTAGAGGAAGAAAAGGTAAACTTAGGTAAATAGTGTCCAGAAATAGTGAAAATAATATTTCACTTTCTTATCAAAATTTATGACCAACCAAATTCTAATAGTCCATTTATTTAATATTCATCTTTATAATACAAGTAATACTGATATAGAACAATAAAAACAGGATCTTCTAGCAGCTGAGAACAATCTATGTTGCTAATGATCCCTTGGGAAAAGCCTAATGCTGGGGATATGATCCTTCTGTTCTTGCAATATCCTTCTAAGACTAAAGTCTGAGCTATTTGTCTTCAGAGGAGGGAACTGTGTGATCTGCTTAAAGAGATTTTTGTCAAATAGTGATGTCAGAGGTTAGTCAAGAGATTTGAAAGAGCTCTACATTTAGTTTCACACAGGCCAGAAACTTAGACAATGAAAGTATTTCATATGTTCTTATAGACCGTTTTATTTACTTGGAATATTACCTCTAATTATCAAGAAAGTATGAATAAATATTAAGATATTATAATGATTTTAAAACTTCCATATGTATTAGTGATCCAGGACTCTCCTTTCCTCTGTGTCTAAGTGAGTTTCGTGCCTAGAAATAAGTCTAAGTTTATTATAATACATTTAAATATAAAGTAAGAAAATACTTACTTTAAAAAATTGGTACCAAGATCACTCTGTGCCCTGAAACAATCTTGGCAAGTGAAATACTGGTATAGCATCATTTTATACCATCAGTGGAAATACATTGTATGTAAGGAAGAGAGCTTTGACTTTCTGCCTCAGTATTAAC